GATTCCCTGGCTAAATTTGTGTGGCATGGACCAGAAGGGCCCATGGCTAGGATCTCCTCATCAAACTCTTGGGTTTCTTGGGTCATCCCAACCTGCTTCCTGGGCTTGATGAGAAGGTGGATTGCAACCAAAGCTAGAGATGTGGTGGGATTCAAATTTTTTTTACTACCAGTTCTGTGGGCGTGGCTTGGTGGGCTTGGTGGGCATGGCAGGAGAAGGATACTGCAAGATCCCCATTCCGTCCCCACCCCACTAACCTGCTTTCCAGCTCTGTTCTCCTGTGCAGGGCAACCAAAGGAGACCCAGCTGATCAGCTGGGACTCAATGGGAGGCAGAGAAGAGATGGGGTTGGTGGGGCCAGTCAGAGGTGGGATTGGCCGGTTCTCTGAACTACTCAAAATGTCTGCTTCCAGTTCTCCAGAACTGGTCAGAACCGGCTGAAGACCATCTCTGATGGTGGGGCTATATGCCAACACACACAGTGAGGTCTGGAGCATTGGCAAACTGAGCAACTGAATTTCTATCTGGTTTTGCTGCCTAGATTAGGAACTTGGTTTTAACATGAGGCATGTAACCGGGTTCCTGGAATAACCCTGTCTGGGCTTGCTACTCTGTTGATGCATAAACGAACATAGGCTGTCTTCACACAACCCATAAGTGTTGTTCAAATGAGCAAAGTGTAGCCTTTGAGCTGCCATCTTGACTTGTCTGAATGTGGATGGGAAGTGGGTTAGTCTGGATCTTTGCTCAGGGCTCCCTTGTCCCAGATGCCTTTCACAAGTTCTCTGGCTCCTTTGCCTGGCCTCCCCTTCTCAGTTGGGGTTAACGTAGAAGAAGACGTTGTCAGGATTCCAGCAATCGCCCTAATTAAATCATGATTCTGGAGCCAACCTTAAAAAAAGCTTCAAAGGATTTATTAGAGTTGACATACTGGCTCTGCCCTGTATGAAGCCAACTCTGGCATACGTCATTTACAGTCCCCCGTGACCCTGTTTCCTCCCTCCCCCTGGGTGTGTCATAAATCAGATTCTCCAATTGAGCCCATTCACAGGCTGGGTGTCATCATTCACGTTCTCCAATTAAATATATTCGCAGGCAAAAGCTCTGGTATTTTAGTTACAATCTTTTAAAGTTAAGAGTTGGAATGTACTTTTGCTTTCAACTGCTCTTCCAGATTTCCTTCCTCCCCCCCCACCTTTTTTTATGGCAACTACTAAAACAGGCATAGGAATGTTTTATGAGTTGACATATGTCTTGATGACCTCCCATTCCCACTGGTGGGGGAGTGTTTTAATCTGCCCAGCTCTTTTCAGGTGCATCAGGCTAAACTGCTTTCAGGCCAAAGATCCACTCTTGGACCAAGCATGCATGGCGAGCAACGTGGACTTTCAGAGCCTCGGTTTGCCCAAAGAGATGACCATCTGGGTTGACCCCTTTGATGTCTGTTGCAGGTGAGACTACCGTGCTGGAAGGGACTTCCTTCTCTGCCCCCTGGGACTGGTGGTTTGGCATCCAGGCAAAGTCAGGATTTGGGTTAGCCCTGGTTTGCTAATCCAACTACAGTGGTGTGTGTGAGGAGGCATTAAGCCAAACATTAGCCTGACCAATGGGCACAGCCCAAGAGTAGATGCAATGGCCTCCTTTAAGCTGACTCTGCCCAGGTTGGGTGTAGGGTGTTGAGTCAACCAAGCAATTGCAATTTGTTAAACCTGCTGCGTGGCTTAGCATGTTGTAGCTGTGTTTTTATTTTATAGTATGTACAAAATGTGTGTTTTCATTCTGTTGTGTGTTTCCCAGATCCACATATGTCAGTTGGGTGGCAGAGAGATGGGAAAGAAGGAAGGAAAATGGGAAGGGAGGGGGGTAGAGAGAAGAGAGAAAGGAAGGGAGGAAAAGGGAAGGAGGAGGGAAAGAAAGAGGGAGGAACAGATAGTAAATTAACAATATAATAAATGTTTTGGGGCAAGGAAGGAAGAGGTTTGGGAAACCTTGCTCTAAGGACTGAGTTATTCCTTGCCTGGGGCTCTGCTTGCTGCCCTGCTTAACCCCGTCCCCCATTTAGATACGGCGAGAAAAACCCAGCGTTCACCGTGGCTCACTTCACAGGCCAAGAGGATGACTACGACGTCTCTCAGGGCATCCGGCAGGCGGTGGAGAAGGCCTCCTCCTCCTCCTCCACCACCTCCGATTATCACTCCGGCACTTCTTCTGAGGAGGATGGCACCACCAGGGAACCCAAAAGCATCCCAACTGTTAGCAATCCCAACAGCATCTATCAGGTGAGATGAAGAAGCTGCGGGTGGCTTGGACTCCAGGACTTCTCAATCTTGGACCCTTTAAGATGGGGGGACTTCAACTCCCAGAATTCCCTAGCCATTGAAGTGCATTCAAGCTTACTAAGGCTGAGATACACCCATCTCCTTCTCTCCAATCCTCTCCCTCCCTCCCTTCCTTTTCTCTATATTCTCCTATTCCTTCCTTCCTTCCCTCTCTGTTTTCCCCTTCCTTCCTTCCTTCCTTCCTTCCTTCCTTCCTTCCTTCCTTCCTTCCTTCCTTCCTTG